CACCTATTTTGGTCATGTTGTGAGAAGGGACTATTCCCTGGAGAAGGATGTCATGCTTGGTAGGGTGGAGGGTCGACGAAAGAGGAGGAGGCCTTCAAGGAGATGGATTGATATGGTGGCTGTGATGATGGGCTCAAGTATAGCAGGGATTGTGGGGCTGGCGCGGGATCTGGCAGTGTTTTGTTCTGCTGTGCATGAGGTCGCTATGAGTCGGAAACGACTCAACAGCACTTAACAACAACAACAACAAGTTTCCTTGAACAGGCAACCATGGTTAGACAGCAGCAGTCTGAAATTCATAAGATCCTCCCGTGAGATGGTTTTGTATTTGGTGATAAAGATAAATTCCATTCTTCACCCTGGGTGCTCTTTTGTCATCTGACAATTTCTGCAGTTGTAAATTTGCATCATTTTAATTAAATATTTTTTGTGTGTTATTGAGTCAATGGCAACTCATAGGAACCCCATGTGACAGCAGAACTTGCCCATAGGGTTTTCTAGGCTGTTATCTTTACAGGAGTAGATTATCAGGTCTTTTCTCTCACAGAGAACCTAGGTAACTTTGAACTGCAAGCCTGTCAATTAGCAACAGAGTGCTTAACTGTGACATCACCAAGGATCCTTATTTAATGTTCACAACAGCCAAACTTCCAGAGGCTCATGCACATTAAGCGTGCTGTCAAAGTGAACCAGGCATGAAAGGTGCACAGAGAGGAGAGAAAAGCGCAGCTGGGGAGAGGCAGCAAAGAAGGAAATGGAGAAATGTGTTCTTGGGTTTTTTTTTTTTGTTTTGTTTTCTTGCTTTTTAATTGATGTATAATGTACAAGCATGGACATGGACAAACCTTAAGCATGCAGTCTGGTGACTTTTCCCATAGATATTTTACCCACAACCACCTTCTGTCTGTCAGTTGGTCATACTGTGGTGGCTTGTGTGTTGCTGTGATGCTGGATGCTATGCCACCAGTATTTCCAACATCAGCAGAGCCACACAGTTTCCAGACTAAGACCAGGAAAGAAGGCCTGGTGATCTACTTCTGAAAATTAACCAACGAAAACCCTAGGGATCACAGCAGAATGTTGCCCAATATACTGTTGGAAGATGAACCCCCCAGGTTGGAGGACACTAAAAATACACAATGGTCACAGTAATGGGTTTGAGCATCCCAACTGTCATAAAGATGGGCAATGTTTTGTTCTGTTGTCCATGGAGTCGTCATGAGTCAGACCCAAATTGGTGGCAAGCTAACAACAACATACATTCCATGTCCCAAAACTTCCTTCATTCAGGAAGATACCCTTTCCTGCCCCCCACCCACATGTAACCACTATACTGATTTCTGGCACCACAAATTAGTCTTGTGTGTTCTTGAACTTCATGTAAGTGAAGTCTTTTAGGAGATAGCTTTGGTGTCTGCTTTCTTTTGCTCACAGCACTTCTGACTTTCAGCTGTGTTGAATATATCGGTATCAGTGCTTCATTCATCTTAACTGTTGCACAGCATTTCATTGTATTGCTATACCACAATTACACAATCAGTCTTCTGTGGAGGAACATTTGGGTTGTTTCTACTTTTTGAATACTATGGGGAATATTTTACTGATATTTTTTAAAACAAGAAATGCATTTTCTCTCCCCCACTCCCCAAGTTTCAGATAACATGATACAAAACACGATTTTGTGTATTTAGGGAAGACATACATCCTGGTGAAGTGGAAAATTGTGCAGATGGTTCCCAGAAACCTCCATTCTAATAGCTTGTTATGGACTGAATTGTGTCCCAAAAAAATATGTGTTGCAATCTTGACCCCTACACCTGCAGTTATAATCCCATTTGGGAATGGGCTGTCTTTGCTATGTTAATAAGGCAGTAATAGTGTAGGGTATGCCTTCAATCAATCTCTTTTGAGATATCAAAGAGTAATGTTTTATGCTACTGTAACAGAAATTACCACAAATGACCACAAATGGGACAGCTTTTAAAAACCAGGAGGTTATCATCCTCTAGAAGTCTGAGTTCAAAGTGGTGGCTCTAGGGTTTAGGTGAAGGCCACTTGACTTTGGGCTTCAGCTTTGCCTCCAGTTCCAGTCCCTCTGGAACTAGAGGCTTCTTCTGACTCATGCAGCTGCAGTGGCCTGCTGAGGCTGACAAACAAGGTTGACAAGAACAAAGGCACAGTCCTGATATTACCAAATCACATGGCAGGCCATTTATTCAAGTCCATTTAGAGTCCCAAGATCAAAAGACGACATGGCAGCCTGATGAATAAGGACTCAGCTACATGCAGGGTTCAAGTCATAAGCTAGAGACTGTCCCACAAGGACTCTCCTTATATACAAGAAGTAGACCACATGCCTAAAGCTGCTGCTCACAGTAGATTTACTCAGCTGCTCACAGTAGATTTCACCATGGAGTTGATTACCAGTTTCCTCATGAAGAGTACTACATCCAGCTGCCCAGCCACTCAAAACTAGGCACAGCCAAGTTGACATATAACAATAACTATGACAAGCAGCTCTGGTAGCATAGTGCCTAAGGCACTTGACTACTAACCAGAA